ATTCATCATCCCATCAAATGTATGACCTGTGAGGTGGTTGGTTGTGGCATTCAATTGTGCATTCTAGGAAAATGTAGACTTGTTTTAAGCCACTCCTTAATAAGGTAAATTCATTAGCTTCTCTGCCCTTTAAAAGCCCCCAAATAAACTCCCAAGCATTTAACAACTAAACAGAACTGACTTTAGGATAACTTGAAGTTTGGGATTATCCACAGCAGAGGTGTCAAATTCCACTGTGAAGCCCACACCAGATTAAAATGTAACTGAGAAATGTTTAATAAAATAAATAAGAATATAGTACAACATAGATAATGTTAATTTGTGGTTTTCTAAATTAATATGGGCCCAATCCAGGGATCATTTCTATTTGAGTTAGAAACCACTGACCCACGATATCTCCCACTCCTCTCAATGCTGTGGACAACCAAGAACAAATGTATCATAATTTTGCTCTTAAAAATTAGAGAGAGAGAGAGAGAGAGGGAGAGAGAGAGCATAGAAACATGATACCAAATAGATGTTTATAGAGCAGTAAATGGAAAAATTTCCCCTGGCACAGAATTCCCATCTGGAAGAATGAATGGAACCCAAACCATTAAGGGGCTCAACCCAAATTTCTAGAAGTACAGAAAACAAAACTCCACCCAAGAAACAGCCAGTGAACCACAGCCCTCAGGTACTACAGAATATAAAATAGATTATGGAATGTTAGGGATGGAAAGGATCATAGAACACAGACTCTTTGAACATAGATTAGATTAGATTAGACCTGGAAGGAATCTTAGTGGTCATCTAGTACAAATGTGATTTTATAGATGAAGGAAATGAGTGAGGTCCACAGAATTGGTTAATGGTAGAGCCAAGAATCTGGATCTCCTGACCGTTTATTGCTCTTAATACGGCTTTTCTCTTGCCCCTTCCCTACGTATTGGCCCACTTTTCTGCAAAGCAAAATTCCAGACCCCGTAATGCACTGTTGCATTGTAGTTCCATGTAGGTCACAAACAGATTCCTGCAGTTCTCCTGGGCTAATGGGAATTTGACTGGGTTGGACCCCAGAAACTGGGGCAATAGGAAGGGACAGGATAATCCTTGGGGCATGGAGCCCCACAAAGAAAGGATTAGAGACAGAAGCACAAAGGTAATAAAAAAAAAATGGATCCCTTTTTCATGATAGAAAAAGATTTCCTTAATAAAGAGATAATGAAATGGCAGGGCATTAATGCAAAACAGACCCCTTCCACTTGTCACCCACACAATGACATATCTCTAAATTTTGATTGTCATGCAGTAGGAATTCTGAAAATAACATTTTTATAAGAACAAAATTCTGGGAAACCAACATTATTTCACCTTTCCCATTTGGATCTCTGAGTGGTTCTTCCATGTACCCTTTACAAATGGCTGGCTTGGAATTCTTCTTGAGGGGATAAAGATATAGAGCTATTGGGAGGAAAGGGAATAGGTGACTTTGTTAAATATTTACTTCAATGGAGGTATTCTATAAATATGGGCACTCCCTCTACTGAAGTGTCATGAAACACCTTCCACTTTATTGGGACCAAACCTCTGGTGATGAGTCTTTCAGCCTTTATCTTAAATCATCCTCATCCCCATCATTATTCTCCCTGTCTTCTTGTCGGCTACTGCTGCATTCTGAAGATGCTTTTGGGGAACTTACGGAAATGAGTTTGCACCTCAATACTTATTCAATCACAAAAAGCAACCTTTTTACCCCCTTGCATGGTTAGTCAGGAAGATACTAAGCATAAACAATAGGATAGCAACCTGTTACCAGTACCATTTCTAGCTGAACCAAATATGAACTAGATGCTCCTATCTTGAGAAGATAGGAGCAACAATATTAATAGCAAACATGCTATATACCTGCATATGTAAAGTAATACATACACTGGCTTATCACTCTCTTATTTAATCCTCACAACTTCGTAAGGTTGATGAGGAAGCTGAGGCTTAGAGACTGAGACCTGCCCATCTGTCCACACCTAGTATCAGAGGCTGAATATGAACCCAGGTGTTCCTGACTCCAAGTCCAGTACTCTAGCCCTGAGATGCCAGCTACAGTCTGTCTCCAGTCAAAGTTTTTCAACCTTGGTAGGACCTGCCCAAGCTCATTTTCCAGTCTTTGAGAACTCAGGCCCACCACCATCTTACTTACAGAGTAAGGCTAGAGCAGTGGTTGTCTGCAGAAATAGAGAGGAAAACAAAGGTTCTTCTATACCCTTCCTCTGGGTATAAAAGCTCAGAATTAAAATCTGAAGTCAGGAAACCAAATGTTTATGAATAGCCTTCAAACCTGGCAGAAAGCTTATCCTAGCATCCAGTGCATAATTTAGGCTACTTGGGATCTTTCCTTAACAACTCCACCCAAGTAAGAATACTCAGCCTGGCACCAACTTCCTCAGCATATCCCTTGTGCCCCACTTCTTTCCCTAGAATTAGGTCTCAGGCAGTCTTCTTGTCCATTAATTCATAAGAACTAACTGGGACCATCTGTGTTAGCCTGTCTTTAAAATCCCAGCTGGTACCCAGGCATTACTGAGTGGGCCTATAGCACAGAGGTACCGCCCCAAATAGGAAGAGGCAGATGTCAGTACCCTCGTTGAAATGCCTTAATGGACCAAGTTGCTAAGGTCTTCCCAGGGTTACCTAAGATGGACAAGTCATAGTGGAGAGTTCTGACTAAAGGTGATCCACTGGAGAAGGAAATGGCAAACCACTTCAGTCTTTTTGCCAAGAAAACCCCACAGACACTGGTCTCCATGGAGTCATGAAGAGTTGGACACGACAGAAAGACTGAACAGCAACAACCCAGCAACCAGCACTATGTACCCCCACATACCTTCCTATTCTCCTCCAAAAAGAAAGGAGAAAGATGAGGGATATGGCTCACAGCTGCAGGAAGAGTAATGCATCCCACAACCTGAGAAACCTATGGGTGTGGACAGGGACTAAGACCAACTAGCTCTGGTACGCATCACCTCAAACTTCTGCACGTGAGGGTCTCCAGGAAGGTCAAACCAACTTCTTCACACGCATAAATCTGAGTCTGAGGACTCAAAGACAGGTCAGAGAAGCCCCCATCTCTCACACTCTTTGCCTCAACCCCCACAGACACAAAGTCCTTAGTGATGACCATGCAGCTTTCTTAATGGAAAACAATCGCTGAAGTTGGTGCATTTCAAGCACTTTAGCCTTCTAAGACACCAGACTGCTGATGAAAAAAACCCATATTCCGTGGGCGCCATCTTAATGAGAGGCCAAATTTCATATGCTTGCAAACTTTTCCCCCCTCCTCCCTCCACCCCACCCTACCCTACCCCCTCAATAAAAGGTTGCATCAGAAAGAGGTATTTCCATAATTTATAGTATGGGCATTTCACTGGGGAAAAGCGCTAATCTGTACTTACAGATACATTTAAGAAAATGCATCCTCCCACAATCCTGTGCCATTTATGACTCTTGGCACAAGCCGCAATACTCAGTCTTCAATTAAGGGACACCTTAGGGTTCATTATCACACAATTGCTCCCTGTGAACCATGCCAAATGCTGTTTTGGCACAGAGCTTGGAAGATGAATTAGAAGGAAGTCTTCTCTGTAATGCCCTCTCCCCAATTCCCATTCCTATCATCAGCGTTTATGCCCTTCTCTTGCTCACCCCCTCCCTTCTTTTTTTCCAAGTGGCTTTTACTATTCAATCTCTCAACGTCAAACTCGATTCTCTAGAGGTGTATTTAAAGATGCCATATCCCTATTTTTTCTTCCGGCTTTCAATATGCCTCAAAATTGCTGCAGATGGGATTCTCTCTACACCCCTTTCTGACCTATCAGGGCCACAGATGCCTTTTTTTTTTCGGGGGGGGGGGGGGGGGGGGGAGGGAAGAGGCTGGGGCCCAGAAAAGAAAACAGACAAGAGCTGTAAATACTCATGATTGGAGAGTTCTATTTAGGAGCTATTCGAGGAGCACCTAGATCAAGGGGAGATTCCTATGTAGACAGTTAGGGTGGTAACATACTCAAATATTAAGCACAGCAACATGCCTTCAACATCACTGCCAGTCATAGGAAAAAGAGAAAAAGCAGGTGGTTAAAAAATAGAATACAAGGCACAACATTTATTCTTCTACTACACTGCTAGCTACTCCCTTGATTCAGAGACCATTTGGCCTCTAGCTGCAACTATACGTCTCATCACTTGAATAGATCTATTCACAAGGAAGGTTCTCCCAAAGTAGTCACCGACACCTGCTTCCAACTATAAGCAGCTATCTGTTACTTCTGAGAACAAGAGCAGCAGCACTCACAGAAGCAAGAACTGCGGAGATTCAGATCCTTATTTTATACACAATCAGGTGATTATGTATGGAGGGACAGGTTGGCGGAAAATGTGGAGCAGACAGCGTAGGCTTTGCTGACTTAGTTACAGTAAAGTGTGTTTATACAGCTGAGGATTGGATCAAAACCCCTTGATATTACTCCCATAAATTAATCTTCAAGACCCACTTACAATGACAGCGTCTTTCCATATGAGGAAACTCTAGTTATTAACTTCTCAGTGTCACGCCATTTCAAGACGCTTAGATGTGACAGGTATGAGGGGCTGATTGTAATTAAGGCTCTCAAGTCAATAACATCAAATTATACAAAGCCATTAAAGTGAAATTAGTTTAACGAAGTAGATATAAGCCTAGGCAGTGTAGCAACTAAGTTGGAGATAACGCAAAGTGAGTCAGTTGTCTAAGAGCAATCGAGCATTCCTGACCTCTTTCCATTTGGGGTGGCAAAGGGAAGGGGAGGTACCAAGAAAATGCAAAATAAAACAGACTAAAAACACTTCACCCACAAGAAGCCTTGTGGAAATTTTATTATATAGAGTGTAAAATGCAACTGTCAGTCAAATAAAAAGAACATTTTGTTTTAAACACCATGCTCAACATTATTTAATTGCATTTTTTTTATAGTTAGACATTTCAAGCATTATAGGGAAATAAAAAGAAAGAGAAAAAACCGAACAGTAAATTCAGTACATTTCAAAACGGAATGTCCCTCAGGTCAATTAAAAATGCAAGAAAAAATAGTTTCAGTTCCGTTTTTTTTCTTTTAAAAATACAGTTATCTGTACAAGAAAACACTAAACATAAGAAATCATATTATCCCTTTTATTAAATCAAAATTATTTAGCGCATACTGTGGTTAATACTAGAATCATTTATTTTTCTAAGTAATTTGACAAATATTAGATATGAAAATATTTGAAAGAAAAATGAAAAAAGCAAAAAACACTTTGGAATTAAAAAATAGTTACTACCTTATATATGGTTTAATGTTCCACAGTGTTTGTTAAAGTTACTAGTAGCTGATTTATTTTTAATATTAAAAATAACAGTATTTATATTTCTGAGAGCATAGAGGAAGGTTTTTAAAATTTTTTAAAATAAGCTTGGAGGTCTTAGATACACAAATGCAACCCAAAATGGACATGTGAAAAAAAGTATTGCTAAAAAAAATTACATGTTTTTTATATTACCCCTTTAGACTCTAGAAATTATACAAACCCTACAAAATGCCCCCCCCAACCTGTCTGACAGCAAAACAGTTAACTGTTTCAATACAGAATTCACATAATTAATTACAATACATAATGTAGTTTTTTTTAAAAAAATGCAATAAAATCAGGCAGCCAAAATAAAAGAAATTAGAAGTAAAACATTTAATAATGCATTTACATATTTAAGAATATTTAAATACTGTTTAAAAATTTTTTTTAGGATTTGTTACATAACACCTAAGACTTCCAAGCCACTTTGTTGCAACAGAAAAGATCAAAAAGGAAAAAGAGAAACACGCCAAGAAAAAAACAAAAACAAAACAAAAAACCCCAAACAAAAAAAATTCCCATGTTTGAAATGTCACTACTCTGGAGTATATTTTGGTACCTGGAATTTGCAGACATTGTTCCAAAAAGAACCCCAAAGTTTACAAATTTGGAAGTAACAATAAAACAAAACAACACCCCCCTCAAAAAAACAAAATCAAAAGATTACCAGCATTTTCATGAAGTTTAGTATATTACTAATTTTTCCTGATTCTTAGAAAAGTTCAGTATAGATTATTCTACAACTAGTGTTTCACAAAAACGAACAAAAAAAATCTTCATCAAAAGGCTGCAAATCTAGAAACCTCTGTTACAAAAAGGTTTTCTTTCACAATGATTTCAAGGGAAAAAAAACTGCCATAAGGACATTGTTCTACTGCTCCTGTAGAGGGAAAAGAAGAAAGAAGAAAAGTTATTCCTTGGTAGATTTTAAAAATATGTACTTCTGAAACATTTCTCCCCAGGGCGGGTGACAGGTCACACTTTCTCTCCCTCTGGCACCATATCAAGCATCCGAACAGACAACAGAGTCAATGTATAAGGAAATACCTCCTCCCCCCTCCATGGGACTGATGTCACAGGATATGGCAAGAGAAAACTCTGCTTAGGAAGGATGCTCCAGAGTTTTTCTTCTAAATGTGAAAATAGAATGGGGTGAGATAGAAGTACAAGCACTTCCCAGCCTGTGGACATGCCTTTGGAAAGCTCAACTACCCATTCTTACTGAGCCCTCTAGGCAGCTGCTAAGGATGTCATCCACGGGGTCTGTTGAGGTAACCATTATTTGAGTCATTGGACACTGTGATTTGCAGTGCTATCGAAAGGAACAAGAAAACCTGTGGATATTTTTCCTTTAGTTGCCTGATAACTGACCTCAATACCTATCAAAATGTCTAATTATTAAACTTCAGAATGCTGATTTCCTGTCCATGGGATTAGAGACTGGGAATGTACAAGGCTGAGAAAATCTGGCTTTATGCCCCTCAGCCCTGCCTCCCAAGGAGTAGCCAATACAGAACCCTCTTTTACTTGATCTGGGAGGTGCCTCATGGACCTGGAACAAAGGACAGGGATAGATAATCACTGTTGTTAAAAACTTTTCTAAGCCAAATGACAGCAATTTCAATAGCCAGCTCCCCCGATGTCAGAAAACATCATAGAGCGACAACTTTTTCAGAATGGCAATATAGTTCAATTCTTCACATCCCCTATGTGAGGCACCTTAGAAAGCCTATGTACTTTCTTGATTGCATTGTATACAACTAAAAATTTGATGGCGATTTATTAGGCCATATGGAGGAGTTTGCCCCACTAGGTTACAAAATTAACTCCAGTTATCTTTGGCCCAAAAGATCCATGTATAGGAAGAACAAGTAAGCTGGAGTGCTGAACAGAAACGGCTACTAGGATTTCTCCCTGGCTATTTTAAGTATCTCGGCTAACACTTGCTTTTTTGCTCATGTCCAAGTTTTACAAAGACCCAAGCATCAGAGCACCATGTTTTAGGATGGAAGAACAACAGGAGACAATGGAGACACTGGCTGGCTAAGAGGTCAGAGCTTCCATGGAGTAGCATACCAAGGTTCCACTCATTCACCAAACTATTCTAAGATGGGGGAGGAAGGGATAGGACGGAGGAATACTGCCATGTTCAGGGAAATACAGACCTGGCTGTGGGCCTGAGCTTGCCCTAACGTTTGCCCATAGTAAGCGGCTTGCTGTCTGTAATACTCCGCCCAGGCCATTGTGTAGTCCGGTGGGGAACTAGCCTGAGAAGCTGCATTGGCTGCATGGCCTGATTGACAAAGGAGGAAAGGCAGATTATTTGAAGGCACCCATACCAGCACATTCAAAGACAAGCCATATTAGCTGTAAAACAGTGCTCAAATCTAACTGTGTACTTCCCTTCCTAAAGTGTTGCAGGACATCAGGAAACATTGCTCACATCGCCTGATAGTTCAGTTTTGAGGAGCTGGATGGTCGTAAGGACCTGATTGAAGCTAGATTGCTGATGGGTACAAATTACAAACACTTAATAAAAAATTCTACCCGTCCCATTGCTGCCTCCCCACTAACAGTTTCTTAAAAAAAAAATCATCATATTTTAGCCATTCAGTTACTTCCCCTCAGTAACCCCCTTTCCTTTCCACACCCAGGAAATTTTCAATGACAGAGGAAGAAGTATCATTCCCCTTCAAAGAACATTCCTAAGCCCTAAATCTTTAGTTTACCCATCGTCACCAACCTTCAACCTGAGCTCTCACAACTAGCAAGTGATGTGAATCAAGGTTTCAAATCAAATGAGATCTCAATTCAGTTTCCAGAATATTTCATTCACCTAGCCTAACCATTTAAGAAAACATACCAATTTAGCTCTGATTTGAATTGATTGGCTAGGTGTTTTGAAGACTGGTTTAGTTTGTGATTCAGTTACATGGATTAAGCAGAAAGACTTCAGGACTCTAAGGCAATCACCACTTCTTAGACACTCAATGAGAATCAGTAGTGTGAAAATCAGCAAAGGAAAGGGATAATGCTGGCATTTCTATACCAGCTGAGATGCAACCTGGATGGGTTACAACTCTGTTCTGGCAAAAGGGCAAGAAGAAAAATGGGGAAACAAAGTTAAGGTATTGATATGAAGTTCCTGAGGAAAAGGGGCGAGGAAAAGAAGATGCTCCATCCACAGTAAATTAAAGTGTGCTCGGGAGGGACAAGGCACTTTGTCATTGGCCATCTGCCTTTGAAGAAAGCCACTCACTCTGTTTTTTGTAATAGTCCTCCCAGGCCTTGCTGTAACCAGGCTGGCTGTTCTGCTGCTGGCTCTGCTGGCCTGTTTGAAGAGGACAAAAACAATCAGGCCAGTGAGGAAAGGAGGGTTTTTTCCTCCTGCCCAGCTACTGCCCAGAGCTTCTTGGTGTATTTTTTACCCACACCAACAAGCCTGTGGGGCACACACCTCACAATAATGCTTTGATTTTTTGGTGAAAAAAGAAGCAAGAGACTTAGCTAGAAGAGGATGGAGGACAGGACAAAAGAGGAAGAGAGCAAGATGTGAACCTCCATCCAAGAAACAGACAATGAATTTTACCCCATGGTTATGTGGGAAAGGGGTGCAAAGAGGATTCCTCCAGGTTAGGCATGGAGCACAGCTGCTGAGTTAGTGGGGAGAGAGGGATGGCCCCTAAGATAGAAAGAAAACAGGGTAGGCTGCTATGAAAGCAAAGAAGCTTCCTAATGAAATGTGCCAGAAAGGAGGCTACAGAGACATTGGCTGTGGACTACCTTGAGGTGATTTAGCATTCAATACCTTAAATGAGAATAGGTAATAGACAGGAGGCTAAGAAAGAAACATGAGAAGCAGAGTTGGTTTTGTTTACAGGGTCAACTGAACTTCAAATAGGGACAGGGAGCAAAATAACACCACCCTTTTACATAATCTTTTTCTTCTATTTGAAGACAAAAGACTACGTACAGCTGGACAAGCAGACTTGTAGTAAACATTCAAAGAAACTGAGCATAGGAAATTAAAGAAAATCCAAGAAAGAAAGCTCAATCCAAACCCTAACCTCACTTCCCCTTGCTTCCCAACACACACAGTATGGTGGAAACCAGGTTGAAAAGCTTATAATTCTAGCCAGAAGCCTCTACTTGCATTAGATTCCTATTTTATTCCAAATTCCATTTTGGGGAGAGGAGATGGAAGGCTAGGGACAAGAGAAAGAAAGCTAATTCTAACTCTTTACACTCTCTCTCACTCTCTCCTGGGTACATGTCCTACAGTGCAACATAAGCTGCAAAAGGATTTCAATCAGTAAGAGGGGAGAGGGGGGAAGCAGACTGTTAAACATAATAAATTGCAAGTGTGAAGTGGGGAGGGAACAGGGCAGTAGCATCCTGTCCAGGGGCATGAAAGAGGGTTAAAAGGCTTGACCAAAGCCATAAGTCAGGACCTTTCTTTCTGCTGAGGTCAGGGCTGGCCTGAGTGTCCACCTGCTAATACCAACAAAGGAAAGGCCCTCCTTCGAAACCTTTTATTTTATTAGAACTAGTCCAAAGTAGGTGTAAAGGTCGCAGCGCTAAATACATTTCATGGCAAAATGTTTTACCCATTAGTTAATTTCTTTAAGGTTGAAGATGGGGTATGAGGAGGATAGAACCATTACATTCAAATGCATGCAAGGTTAAGGGTGGGGGTTAGGAAAAGAGGTCTTCTTTTCCCCACAGTCATCACCACAGAAGGACAGGGCCAAGGAGGGGGGGATGAAGGAAGAGTAGAGGAGATAATTTTTTTGATACATGTTTTACGTTGGCAATGGAATGATCTGGTTCTCTAAAAAGGCAAAGGGTTGACTGAGAAGTTAGATGGCAGGCAGAAACACACTAATGGATAGGTAAGAGAGTGGAATCAATACCAATACCAATATCAATACCAATACCACCACCACCAACCCCATGAGATTTCCTTTAAGATTTTAAGTAAAAAAGAACATTTGGGATGTAGAAAATAAGATTTTTCAATTACAGGTGTTTACGTAGTTTCTGAAGAATAATCTCTCATGCCTTGGCATGACTAGGAACTTGATCTTTAGCCAGGGAGCAGTGCAGTGAAGTCTGCTTTAATAACTGCCCCACCTCATCTATTAATGGCCAGCATGAAGCTCTTACCCATATTTTTATTTTTCTTATTATCCACATTTTTTATTTCTCTCATTTTTCCAAAGGAGGGAAAAAAAATCAGAACTGAATGGTAATCAATCTAAACTCGACTACTCTTCTGGGTGTGATGTTCAGCATTTGCCTCCACCACAGCATAGAATAAGAAAAGGTCAGCTAGGCCTTTGGCTAACCCAAAGGTTGCTCTTTGCGAGTTAAGCTACAGCCACATTCAGAAAAATGTCTAACTGATTTTCTGGTATTTTAGGAAGGATTTCCCTTCATCACAGATATATGAAAAACAATGACATCTGTTTGAGCAATGAACCAACCAAAATAACAGAATTAGAACCTTAAAAATGGAAGGGATCAGGGGCGATAGAGCACTGGTCCTGGATCAGGAGGACCTGAGTTCAAATCCGGCCTCAGACAATAATACTTACTAGCTGTGTGACTGTGGGCAAGTCACTTAACCCCATTGCCTAGTCAAAAAAAAAAAAAAAAAAAAAAAAAAGAAAGGAAGGGATCTAAGAGATCTACAAGTCTAAGAGCAGGGAAGTGACAACCACTGTCACAAGGCTAGAGTGGAGAAATCAGGTTTCCCGGGACTCCTGATCTCTAGTCCTGTCATCTCAGGAAACCCAGAATTCCTGAACTCACAACCAGCATTCTCCTCGCTTCTCAGCCAATAACCTTAGAAGCAGGACTGCTTTATTTCCAATGTGCAGAGCCCACTTGATATAACAGACCAGTATGCTGAAGGTCATAAAATCTGCAGAGTCCAAATGAATGCTTCCCAAACAAAAACATGTTAGATTTCCAATACGTCAAAGAAATCTGGGTTTTACCAAGGATGATAAGATGAGAAAAATCTTTGGGAATAGCTGAAAAGGGGCAGTAACACATTACAAACATCAATAACACAGAAGGGTTAGAGACAGCTAAACCTGGTTTCTGGTTGGGGACTAATTTGACTCTGGACTGAGAACCTGAGGAATCCAAGTCTAAAAGGTCATTTTAGTTTTCAGACACGAAAAAAGGATTTTCAAAGGGCCACCCAAGCCACAACCAATTAAGGCAGCAATAAGGGGAATACAGACTGGGAGGGTTGGGCAAGCTTCCTCAAAGAGGAGTTTATACAACTCTCCACCTCAGAAATCAGATCCCCCCACTCCCCCCTCAATTTAAGGAAGATTAAACATCTGCTTAATGGTTACCCTTCTCTCTCCCCCCCCCCCCCCGCCCCAACTATCCTCTGAACACAAAAGCTACACCATATTTGCAACATAGGATGAGCAGACAACTCACTGACACTGAGATAAGGTGGGTACAAAAGTGAGGGAGATTGTTGTCTAAATCAAAGAGAGAGGCTCCATGTGGAACCCAAGAAGACTAACCAGAAAGAGTTAGTGATGTTGGAGAGTTCTGTGTTCTTTAGTCTTTTCACCATGAGACCTGGCTAAATAGCAACGGTGTAAGAGTACTTTTGTCCAAAGGAAACTCTTAAGTCTTGTGAAATGGGATATTTATGACCCATTCATGAAGGACAAGTGCCTGGTGACTGTTAAACAGAATGAAAGAAAGCCAATAAACCTAGAAAGTAACTACAGAAAGCAGAAAAGAAGAGAGGCTTCAGTTCAATTCCCACCCCAGAGAGCAACAGCAAGAGAGAGATGTTGATTCTTCTCTTCTAAGTTTTCTCCACCACCTTCTTCACAACCCCTAGCACATCACCTGTCTACCAGACTGTAGTCAACCACAAGGAGTGGACATGGGTCCTTGTGTGATCTGGGGAAGACAGCAATTGGGGCCTCACTGTTCTGGCTCTCTCACTGTTTTCCAGTTCCTGGAAGCAACGGTCAACCAGTGATACACATCTTGGAAGAGCAAAGGCACAGATGGTGAAGAAAGCATCAGAATAGTTGGGCTCAATGCAGCCAGCCTAGCATAACACACCAGTGAGGAATGCAGAAGACCTGACATGTTTTTCCAGACCAATCACCTCTGGCTGGCCATGTCTACATGTAGTTTGCCTTTTTATAAGAAGGCTTCACTACCTTTCATACTCGAGACTGCTCTAGGAATTCACTGATCTATCCATCCTGCATCATGTGAGAAAATGTGCATCTTTTTTCATCGGACTCTGACATGTCACTTACTTGGGACTTGCGGTGCAGGCGTCTGCCACGTCTGGTAGGTGTTACCCCAGCCCTGGGTCATAAATGCCTGAGGACCACTGTGGATTACAAAACATTCATTCTTTCTGGTCCATCATGCTTCTTTTTCACCTCATGTGCCCACCTTCCCATACATTTTCTTTCATTCAATTCTCTTTCTTCATGTTTCCCACCCACTTCTCAAAGTCTGAAAGCTAAACTTGTACCCTCCGTTGTAAGATTAAGCTTGTCTTACTGTTTGTCAACTATAGGAGAACTAGAATGAAATAAATGATTTTACCTACCTCACAGGGTTGCTGTGAGGGTTACCGTTCACTTTAGCAGCAATGTTTGGAAAGCACCCTGAGCCCCTTGGAGGAAAGGTGCTACATGGATATAAGAAAAATTAAATAAATAAAAATGCTGGGGATGGAGGTTATGGAATGACTGGCCCAAAAGCCCTGTTTAAGAACCCATTAGCACTGACAGAGTTAGGAGTTAGTCTATTGATGTTAGGGTTAGAAAAGATGACTCCTGAAAAAAACTCTGGAAAAGCCCTGACATCAATCATCATTAAGGGCCAAGGACAAGATTAGAAAATGGGGTAGTGGTACAATTTAAGACATTATTCAACTGTAATGCCCTTACCAAATTTTCAGCCTTTTTAATGGGGAGTCCCTAAAAGGAAAACTGTGGGCAGAAGGGATTCCTGAGAGAAAATTCTCTGCAAAGACACAGGTAAAAGACTCACTTTTGATGAGGTGTAGCAGGTGCTTGGTTGAAAGGACTCTGACCAAAGCCTCCGGGTGCGCCCATATTGGTACCCTGTCACAGACACAATGACAATTCTAATTCCCTATTCACTGATCATCTAAAATCTGCCCAAACCCTCTCAATCCAAATCAGCTTTAAAAGTTAAAAAAAAAAAGAAAAAGAAATAAAAATATCTCATAACCCTAAATCTATCCTTTCTTCCCCACAGAAAATTTTATTTGCAGAATGGTTTCACACCCTCAGGTGAACAATACCACAGAACAGCAAATAATGGTACCACTATGTCTAAGGATGATAATACCACAGTAAACCTAGCTTATCACCCTGTGTATATGGACCAACCTGCTTGACTCTCCCGTCAATTAAGGCTGGCCCAAGTCTCTTTCTGCAATTCTATGTCCCCTTTGAGGTGAGCAGTGGCAAATCTTTCCTCCATCAACACTCCCTTTGTTTATGTGCTTTGAGGTGCCTGAAACTAAAGCCAGAGTCAATGAAAACCATCTGCATGTCTGGCTACCAATACAATGCCAACAAGGGGCCAGGCAGGCAGTGCTGGGTGCAAAGCATTAGCCCCATCTAGCCTGGAAAATAGGCATAGAATTGGGGTGGTAAAGAGCTGGTGCATCTAAAATGCTTCACTCATTGGTCCCATGACCATTATCAGCCTCTGTGCCTCAGACTTCACCTTCAGTAAAATGTGGATAACCAATCTGTCCCAACCAAGCTCACCAAAACAGTGTGAGGAACTGCTGAATGGCACAGGAAGCACAAAAGTTCTTGGGGAAGTAGGGAGAAGGCACCAGACAGCCAACAGAATATTCTGTTAACAGCCCAAAGGTGGGAAAAAGGGCCTTGTACGTACACCAACTTTCTCATCTATGAGATGTCTGGCAAGTTCAATCTGCTGTGGTATGCCTCTGATGGTAAATATCCGCACACTGGGGTCTGTGTTAGGAGGTGGATTCCGCTGAAGTTCTACATGGGCTCCTGACTGTTGATTTATGCTTTTGATATTCTCACCCCCTGTAGGCAGAAAAAAAGAATACAGGAGAGAATAAACGAGGTGTGATTCTGATACCAGCTAACAAATCAGACATTTCTTTCTCTTTTGCATCTTTTTTTTTTTTTTAGCACCAGCAAGAAAAATGTTTTCTATGAACCAGGACATACACAGAGCAAACAGAAATGTTTAACTGTTTTAAAGAAATAATATTGCCATTTGTTTGTTGGCACTTGAGAACTTGCTGATAATAGGTTGATTATGTGGAACACGCTAAGAACACTAATAATGGGAAAAATCAGCAGGACAGTGACCATCAGAACACCTCTTTATTGGCACTGAGTTGCTGACCAACTAGAATGCATGTATCCTACATGTATGATGTAAAACAGGAATTTACTATCCAAAAGGGGAAAAGTCCCTTATCAAACTTCAAAAGCTAACACAACTGCACTGCATCACACTGTAGGTGCTCAATAAATATCTGTAGATTTTGTTTGCTCTCTAATACCATCCTCACCTGAACCCCAGGCCCAAGAAAAGCACTGTGTGTTTAGTCAGCAACTCTGTCCCTCTGATAAGTTACAATCTCTTTTCTCAGTATAAGAATGACTTTCTGATGGCTCCTCCATTGTACAATGGGGGCCTTCAACAAAAACACACAGGCCACCCCAGCCGCTTTCCCCTCCCTGCACAGGTCAAACGGCCAGGCAAAGAACCGAACAATTCTTGGCTCCCACTAAGGCCTTTAATATACCATCCTGTCACTTCTAAAGTCACTGCATCCATAGGGAATGGATCTAGACAGGGAGCCATACCACGACAGTGTACATAAGAACACTGGGTGGAGCAGGGCTAATGAAAATTTAGTTGGACTTTTTGAAAAACCTGTGAGAGTCCCAGTCTCTTAATGAAATTTGCTTAACAAAAGCTCCAGCCAGCATTACAATGGTTCAATTCTTCTTTTGAAATTTCACAGAACTTAAAGATCAGCTCCACTCAACTGGAGAAGAAAAAAAAAAGGGGGGGATAGAGGGAAAACTTATAGCACCAGTCTTGTAAATCTAGGGGGAAAATGATCACTGAAAAACTGCTACAAGGCAGTAACTGTCCTTAATCCATACACAAAGCAGATAAAATGATATTTAAACATTTCTTTTCCTTTTAAGATTTTCCATATTTCTCATATAAAGTTAAAAAAAAAACTTATAGAGACAGGGGCTACATTTGCTCATTTGTAACATACTCTTGACCTTTTTAACATTCCAATCTTTGCTTTCTTCTTTGCCCTAGTCCCCTCCCTCCTCCATATTCAGGGAGGGAAAGTAACTTCTGAATAACTCCTCAAGCAATTAGGTTTTCAAAGACATTTGAGGGAGATCAACAAATGTTGCATCCTTCAGCAAGATAACCTGAAAAAACAAACAAACCCCAAAACCTTGCCTTTGTAACTGACAATAGCAACACATCTATAGTCTGGTATGCTGAAGATAAAGGTGATACACCATTTTACAAAACTGAGAATTAGTTGGTAATTTGTTCAAAGTTTCACTTAACATTGCTTGAGGTTGTACCAAGTGGTTTTAAATAAACAAAATAGTAATTTATCAAATAGGTCTCAACGTTTTGAATATTCTCAGGCTTTTCTTAAAGAACTACTAGAATTGTGTAAAGTTCCCATCTTTTTCCTACTCTCTATGCAAATTACAGGTGACAACATGACCATTTAAAATATTCTTTAAATTTTGCTCACTTACAGGTAAAGTACAACCTCACTCCCTGGTACTATAAATAACATATTTTATTCAATAGTCATTCTATAGAAATAGATAATGGGATTTTATTTTCATTGACTCACAAAATGGGACAACAGCTTCATTTGTCAATTGGTTTTCAGGTTATTACATCAAAACAAGGAAGACTACAAGGTCATCTTTCAGAGAAAGCTATGGTTCTGTAGGTCTCATTAGCCCACCGAGCCCTTGCCAGTACCATTTTCCTCTTAAGTCAAGGTAATATGATCTCAAGGTTTATGCACAAAACAGTGCATGTTTGCTCTCAAAGCCCTGCAGTCTCCAGTCAGCTAATATCTCCTTGCTTCCAGAAAACAGTAGCATTTGCAACTCTAGCCCTAGGGATTCTCTGCTTAGGCCTTGGGAGCATGCTAATAAGGCAAGGCAGTCAACACTATGCTGCACGGGGCCGGAAGGAGTTAATTTAAGTTCATCTTCCTTCAAAATGAGGTCACCCGCTTGGCACATGGTGGCTGTCTATAGACTGATTCAACAGCCTGCTCCATTGTTCCACCTGATGGGGGGCAGAAACGACCCACCAGTGGCCCCCCAGCTGGACGTGAAATCGTAAAGCAATTAATCAAACCTGCTAAAAGACTGGGCTGACAAGAGCCGGGCTGGCCACATTATCTGTCAATATTGCTGTGTTTATCATGGAAATCCAGCTAGGGGCCCAAGGAGGCTGCAGTTTGTTTTCAAACACCAACTCCCAGAGGGAGTGCTTGACATTTGTATGGGTGCCCCTCTTCAACCACATCCTGAACATCTTTAAGAAGCATAAGATACTATACCTAGCCAAGCTCTCAGAGAAAAAAAAATGGGGGAGGAGGAAAAGATAACGAGAGAGGAATCTTTCCATTTATTCACTCTAGCTCATCCAGTTGATTCAGGATGATTTGCAAAGAGGACAAAGAACTTTGTGGTAATTTTAAAGTATCGCGCTTTTGCTAACTGTGAGAAACTCAAAGGATAAAGACACAGAAGCTTCATTGATATCTAAAGGGGAAAAAAATCAAATATCATTTACAGCTCATCTTTAAAAGTAAAAGAAACTGTATGAAGATCGATAATAATTTGCAACCTACAGATATCAACAAGATTTGGTCTCAAATCATCCAACTGGCAGGGGAGGAGAGGGAGATATCAAACTTGTTACTGTCAATGAACCATACTTATTTATATGGGATACAACGTCAGTCAGATACACAAAATAAATTACACAGACACAGTTCTTACTTTCTAAAAGCTTACAGTCTAAGACAGGTAACACTGACTAGACAGTTAAAAAACAAATGGTAAAACAAACAAAATAGTCATTCTTGTACCTACAAAGGAATAGTTAATGGAAGAGTTACTTAGAATGGGCTGGGGCGGTAATTTACCACCCCTTTCTCGTGGTGTTCTGGCACCATGTTTCTGGTAAAGCATGGGGCTGGAGACAAAGCTCTGCTCTCCCATTCTTACTCCCCCTCCCCCCCCCGCCAGGAATTAAAGAGAACTCACTAATGTTGCTCTCTCAAAGGTGATATTATAATAAATAATAAATTAAAGATAAAATTAAGGTTACTTCTTTTCATACAAAGTATATCATTCAATTCTTAAGAGTAGATGGGTAATTCATAAGAAGTCAACTTTAAA